ACCTCATTGATTTGGACATTTCAGTGATGGAACCCACACCCTTGACACTTGAGGATGGATCTGCTATGGTAGGTCTCATGGTTGAGCCCACCCAAGTTCAGCCTGAGAGTCCACAATCCTCCGGCAAAATTGTGCTCCCAGATGAACCAAGCAACCTCTTGCCAGAATCCTCCGGCAATATTGTGGTCCCTAATGAACCAGGTAACCTCCTGCCAGAATATGATCCTTCTGATGAGGAGATTGATGTTGAGGGGAAGGTTGATCTTCCTGGTGAGGAGGTTGAAATGGCTACATAATTGCTCAGTGATAGATGTACATAAATCTTTTTCAATGCATGTTACCTATGCCACAATTGAATAATTTAATGATCAGTCCCGATATCCAGAACTCGAAACTGTAGATTGAGGTAGATATCACCCTAAATCCTAACACCCAAATGTCAAATTTTCAGTGCCGAACCCCGAGTGCCGGGTGCCGGGTGCCGAGTCCCGAAACCCGGAACTCAGGATTTGACATTTGAGACGAACGACATTTTTCAGACATGTTTATATCAACCTACATATATCTATAAACATTTTACTAACCCCCAAACCCCGACATATATTTTTGTTGTCTCATACCGAGTTCTGAGTTCCGGGACCCCCAAACCCTGAAACCTGGCAGTCCACAATTTTGGGGTTCGGGGGTTGGTAAAATGTGTATGGATAGATGAAAGGTTGATTTAAACATTTTTGAAAGATGTCTCATATCAAATGTCAAGTGCCGAGTCCCGAAGCCCGGAGTCCCGAAACCCGGAAATTGAAACTCGGGACTTGACATTTGATATGAGACATCTTTCAAAAATGTTTAAATCAACCTTTCATCTATCCATACACATTTTATTAACCCCCGAACCCCGAAATTGTGGACTGCCAGGTTTCAGGGTTCGGGGGTCCCGGAACTCGGAACTTGGTATGTGAGACAACAAAAATATATTTCAAACATGGGTAAGTCAATGTGTTTGTCAATCAACTCAATTGTAAATCAATTTTTATTGATCTCCTCAAATTTCCCAAGTTCCGAGTTCCGGGACCCCCGAACCCCAAAACCCGGCAGTCCACAATTTCGGGGTTTGGGGGTTGGTAATTCTCGGTTTGGGGTTTTGCACTGAAAATTTGACATTTATATTTTTGTGAGTGTTGTGCTTCTGGTGTCCATGCTTAGAAATAGGATATGTTGCACACCAGGGTTCAGGTGTGGGGTTTTTCCACTTCAGTCCTCGATTATTGGTCAATGCCACACATGGTCGATTCATGTTTTCGTGCTTAGGGGTTTAGATTCGGTGGTCGATGGTAGGTATATGCACTCATAGTGTACATGTATCCTATGTGTTTGATTGCTGGTGGCTACATCAGCTGTATGTCTTGATGAAACATATCTAGGCTCACCCATATATGTACCCATCTATGTACAATTCCCCCACGTCAGCCCACCCATCTATGTATTATCCCCCACGTTGGCCCACCTGTCTATATAATACATCCTACGTCAGCCCACCTGTCTATATAATTATACCCCACCTCGGCCCACCTGTCTATGTAATAAATATTTTATCACACCCTCGGCCCACCTGTCTATTTGATATCCCTTTTGTTGGCCCACCTGTATATGTAATACACCCCACGTCAGCCCACCCATCTATGTAATATTCCCCTACCTCGGCCCACCCATATATGTAATACACCCCCGTCGGCCCGCCCATCTATATAACAATATTTGCCTTACATCTCTCTTCAGCCCAGCTGTCTATAATATCCTACTCTACATATTACCCAGATGGGCCCACCCATCTCCATGAATGATCATATTCCCCCGGCCCATCCGTCAACATCAAGGATATATATATCATTGGCATACATGGGCCCACCCGTCTCCATCAGAAATAATATGTGTCCCGGCCCATCCGTCATCATCGAGAATATACACAACATGGGCCCATAATCCGCTGGCCCATCTCATACGGGATATTATGTAAGTCGGGTGGCCCATATAATACGGAATTTGTCACTGAAGGGGCTCACAGAATAGCGGCAATATTGTGCTTAATTTTCATTGCATCGCAGTGTACGTGGCGGCCAAGCATAATTGAACAGGCGAAGAATGAAAATGCTGCTGTCGGCTGGTCTCGCTGGCAAGACATGTACGGCGACTCACAATGCCGATGAAACACGGTGGCCAAGCATAATTGAACAGGTGAGAAATGAACATGCTGCTGACAGCTAATCTCGCCGGCAGGACATGACCGGCCAGTCACAATGCCGGTGAATCAAGCATGGTGATGTGGGCAGATATCCATATTCACAGGTATATTTACAATTGTTGAGACACAAAATTGTTATGTACACTAAACTACAGTGGGTATATATTGTATTGTACATTACATGACAAGGGAAACATATTTATGCCGGCACAACATGTATTGTGCAATTACATTGCCGGCTCACCAGAAACATTAGAGTCCTCTGCCTCAGGAGTCTTGATGACAATCGGCAAGCATGCCGAATCCTCCATGTCATTGGCTGGACCAGCAGCCAAGTCATGACACTCATCAGCAGCGATATCTGTGGGGGGCGCCGAGGACGGCGGATCGACGAGGCGGTAAATATCGGCGATCCTGCCGGCAAGCAGATCGGTGCGGTTATCTTGCACATCCAAGCGCGTGTATGCAGCTTGTAGCAGCTGGTCGCCTGCCACCACCTGAGCTACCAGAACTTTGACGGTCGAACGAAGCCTGGCAACTTCCAGTTTCAGCGCTTCCATTTCCTGTTCATGGGCAACACAGGATGGCAGCAAGATGGGTGATGGGCTGGCAGCCTCGGGATCATCCTGCATTTGGGACGACTCGGGATTGGCAGCCACCGGGGTTGCAGGAGGCGCCGGCTCTTCCTCGACCAACGGGCTGGCGTCTGGAGCTGGATCTTCTAGACTGGGAGTTAGTATGTTTTCAGCGCTGTAAAAATCATCTCACCTTGTATTGGCGAAGGGCGGCACCGGGACTGGGAATGCGCTCGGCGGGCAGCCGAGGACTTGCCTTTGGCTGAGGGAGGATTGGAGCCTTTCCCACCGCAACAAATCTTGAGGCGGCTGCACAGCGCACAAACCTTCAACGTCCAGCTGTTATTCTTGTTGAAGCCCTGACAGCAGATGAGATCGCGGGCCACACATTGGCCACAGCGAGGAGCCCATGTGGGCGCTGAAGTATCGGTGAACTCATCTTCTGTCAAGATGGCACCTGAAAAGTTGGTGATCTGTGCCAATGGGGAGTCAGAGAAGGCGACAACAATATGATCCAACTTACTTTCTTAGCACCCATCTTCAGCACGACCGTGATAACGCGCTCTTCATCGGCGTCCATCTTGTCCTTGGTAGTGACCTCTACATACTGGTCGGTTTTGCGAGATGGTGGGTCTGCAACTTTGGGCTAGAGGTACCATCAATCGAAGCTCATGCTTAAAAAGTTAGCAACTTACTTTAGTTGGCGGTGGGGCCACCTCGTCAGAGTCCTCATCAAGCTCATCATCGGTCGTGATGATAGCTCTGGACTTGCCACGCTGCTTCTTGGAGATCGCCGGGTGGCTTCAGCTACAGGCGCTAGAGGCCCGGGGATGCTTGCCACACTGAGTTCCTCGCCCCCGTTCTTTGGCAGGCAAGGCAGGAGTTTTTGAGGGGCCGGCTTGAGGAGACGGCGACCGAGAGTCACTTTCATAATGGAGTGTGGCGGGGAAGAGGGGATGGCCTTGAATTCGGCGATCATCCCCTTGAATCTGTGTCCACACAGGCAGGCTGCTGATCCCAGAGTTGTCGCTGTCCATGTGCTCCTGCAATTCGGCAGCGGCCGACAGGATTAATGGTGACAGGACTGTCACCAAAGCGCCATGTGTCATGAAGACCTCAGTCTAAAGAGCAATGAGACACGCCACACAAGCAAAGAGAAACTTACTATAGCCTGCGCCATGTTGGTGGCAAGTGAGATATGGTTTGAATCCTTGGGCTACAACTGGCAGGCTTGCCCAAGGATATGTTCAATCTTGTCCGACAAATCACGGAAAGATTGGTTAGCGGCGGCTATGCGGTTTGTTGGAGACATGGTGGTAGTAGTAAGATGAGGAACGGCGACAAACAGAACACAATGTAATATATACAAATTTCATTTGGCCACAGTGGCGGCTGATTATGTCATTTTCCCATTGTCCACCCACAGGTACCGTACATTCAATTGTACAGGACCATCTCCACAAAGACCACTGTTTACACTCAATGTTTGGTGACCGTTCACCATTAGTAGCATGCTGCACAATGAATTTGTGGATCTCCAAGGATGTGGCCAAGCGCCAATCAAAGATACCCACCATGAGAATTCAAATCCCGACCCATTAATCTATTTAAACCCTGTTGTGTACACATTTCGAGGTCAAAATTCATTCTCCCACCCATGTCTTCCCAACAAGACTTAGAATTTACCTTGAAGGATTTCACACAAATTTTCGAGCATGCCGGATCCCGCCTGCTCGCCATTCGCATTGAGCTTGAGAAAACAAAGCTCACAATATCGCCGGACGATCAGCGAATATCTGAATTGGGACATTGAAGTAAGTTCAACTTGTCCTATTTTGCACAGAGGTCAATTGAACTTCCAGGCTTACACACTCCCTTGGATGGCATTTTGCGCCGGGTTGTCTATCAACCCACCACTATCAAAGCACCTCCGTCACATGGTCGGCGTGCTGTCAATGAAACAGCTCGACATGCTGAAAGATTATGCGGAGGTGTATGATGCATTCCTCAGTTTGCTGGTTTCGCCAGCCGGTCCATGGACTAAGGGCCACCGCGTCCGGGAGTATCGCCATGCTTGGTGGACGGACCTTGCGACCATCAAGCTAGATTGAAGGTTCTTGACAACATACCTGGATGGCCATGAGGTGAAGGAATGTGTCACAGCACATTTTGCGCAATTGGTGAGTCATTGACTTCGCATGGATGACAACTAACAAACGCCAGTTGCAGTGTGAGGGAGACACCTTAGTCACACCGGCGACACCGGTTCAAGCAATGTCAACGCCGATTGCTCAGCAGCTAGCCACCATCCGCACCGAGGCTAGAGAAGAAGGTGAATATCTTTTAAAGATGTTGGAAAACAAGGTTCTAGAGGCGAAGATAGTGGCAGCCACTATGCTGAGATTGGACATGGCATTAGGGGATGATGTACTGCAAGCCATCATGGTGTCCGACACACTAGTCAAGTATTTGAAAAAAGAGGCCACGGAATAAACACCGGTCTGAGTAGTTAGCATTAATGTGCTCCATGTAGTAATAGTTTCTTTGAGATATGGATAGAGATTCCAACCATGGCTGTCTTGACAGGATGCCAGTTCAATGGCTCATGCAAATCATCAATGGCCATACCGGTCTCATTTCATCTATAACAATTTGTAGGCATGGCGGTCAATCCTCTTATCATTGCTGAAGTTGCACAATCCTGCGAACAACATTGCCAGGCACACAAAACAATGGCAGTGTGCTCCGGCGATATACCGCCAGCCTGACCAACTCAGTTAAGTTACTGGCTCACATGGTCCTGGACTTAATATTCACACGGAGTCCAGCGGAAGTGACTGCGATGCTGCTTGACCACTTCCGGCAACTTTTCAGATGGCTGATAGCAGTGCGCCGGACCGTCCTGCTCGTGGACATAGATTGGCTACCATTGCCAATGACCTCCGGCCGTGCCGATGGGTGCCATCCTGTGTGCTTCGGCGACAGTAAACTAATTGAGCATATATTGAAGCAGCCTTTGGCATTCACTATACTAGTGTGTTACACCGGCGGCCATGCAGCCTTCGCCTGGTTGAATGAATCTCTCGCCTCTCCGAACAGATGTTGATAGATTTTGCACTGCCTCTCCGAGTACGCCACATGACCATGCTTCTGGGCTAGCTTCAAGATGGCACTGAGACGGATCCATTCATCGGCCTTCTGAAGCAAAAAGTTACATGTCCAATCCATTTCATGCTGAACAAGCAACAACTCCTCTGCCCATTGGTCTCTCATAGCCTTGGCACGAAGCCAGTGAACACGGTAAACTGCAACATCGGTGGTATAAGCGCCGCTTCCACGGAGTATCGGTGACCTGCTCACACTCATTCAGCCAGTCACTGCTATCGGAGTCCCCTTCGACATCCAATGACCAAAACCAAGCTAACACATTGTTCCTCTGCCCTCTTGAATTTGGATTGGCGACGGCAGTACTGACCTTGAGATGCTCCCTTGTCAACGGTTGGTATCTCTTGAGCAGTGCATCGTCTGCACCGAGTCTGCACAATTGTGATCGGCATTTTGAATAGATACTTGCATTGATGCTGACCGCCCTGTCCACTGAATGAACTTGAGCCCAAGCTCTGGTAGACAATGCTTGTGATTTTGCTACTCTGACAGTCTTCAAGAAAATGACCGCCTTGTCAGCCAAATGCACCCTGATGTGGTGCAGGGCATTATTCGCCTGACCTTGCCAGAGCGTGAGCTCCTGATCGGCGATATCAGCAATGCCGAGGGCCACACATTTCTCTAGCCCCAAATTGGAAGGCAAAGGAATCACCCCCTTTTCCGGCTCAAACGCTCTAAGCTCGGCATCCATATCTTCTTCAGTGTCTTCTTGAAGTATTAACAGATCTGGTTGCATGATCTGCATGTCATTGTTGCCTAATTCCTTGCCAAGAATTATTGCTCCGGCCGCCGTCCAGCGATCGATATCCCGTTGCAGGGTATCCCGTCGGCGACCAATCGCCAATCGCTGAGTATCTGTTGCCCAATGTCCGAGCTTTCTCACATCCATCTGCAGCGTGACCTGGGCTTCCTCGATAGCAAGGCCCTCTGCCAGCCATGTTGCCGCACCTCTCCGGCGCCCCTCACCAGGCCGCCGGCCTTGCGCCGTTAACAACCTTAACCCTTGCTGTTTTCTTGTCGGCGCTGTGCAAGAATCAGAACTGACTGTCCATACGAGAAGTCTACATACCTTTGCACAGTTGAACTTCATAAATGTCCATTGCTGTTGGATCATGATGCTGCCGTTCATGTGCCAACCTCTCTTGGGCCTCCCAATCTTTGACTTTATTGGCATTGGCGGTCTCATCAAGCCGCTCAAATGCCATGTTGCTGTCGGCGACCCCTTTCATAGCTTCCTTGTATTTTCGGCAAAGTGATTTGCCTGTACGGTCTCTGCTGTCAGATTCATGCACAGAATAAACGAGACACCCACTCATTCTGATCATTTTCATGAAGTTGCAATCATTCATTTGGTAATCCAGGCATTCTTTTCGGTGAGGAGTTCCCATGCCACGGGCCACTGGTGAGATTATATTTAATGGCACCCATAAGGTCTCCATGATCTCGCCGTCGATCCTGGCTGCGCCTTGTATGAAATTGGAAGCATATCTGACATAGCAGCTGTCTTGATGGCCATGGACATGCCATAGTCCAATGCCGGGGGTGATTTCCAGCTCTGGATGCATCTTCAGCAACGGACTGTCGGCGATGTGGTCCTGGAGGTGCTTATGATACTGACAGTTCACATCATAGAAGGTCAATACACGGCGGATGCCCTTGGCATTGAGTTTCAATGCCTCGCACAGCGCATAATCCATATTCATCTGTCTGTTGACGGTTGGCGATAATGCACATGGTCCGAGTGATTGTACACACCTTTCTCCCTTCTGAAAATCTACCATGGCATGCGGGACAAAACAACCATGCCTCGCACATGCGCATCCGCCGATGCCGGTGGCCTCCAATCTGTGACGAGATGCATTTGCCAAATTTACCATGTGGTGGTTGTTGCACTCCGAGCATTGCACAGCATCCTTGGCAATGGCCAAATGCTCCTGTACAAGGCATCGCCGACCATGAAGCCACGACTGTCCATGAGAGACACTTCATCGGCAGGATTTGTGGCATGAAGATGCTCGGCTTTGAAGTTTCTGTTCATGACAAGCGATCTTGTGTATAAACAACTCGGAGTCTCTCAACCAGATCCATTGTTAGCATCGATGTCCTCGGCGGTGCCTCCGGCAGGCAATGTGACATTAATTCCTGGCTGAGGACATGCTGGACAAAAGAGGGCTAGATCGCCAGGTCTCACTTCCTTGTCCTCATGGCCGAAGCCATTCCACTTCAGGAGCTTCAACTTCCGCCATTGTCTTGCCACCCTCATGAGCTCCTGGTAACGGTCCTTTATGACAATTAATGAAATGGCAGATGGTGCACCACAAAGCTCACTGGCACCAAGTGAGGAAAGACGCTCGTGGTCATCCTCCTTAACTTGCTGTAATAATTCATTGCCGAAGTCCCGCACTCCAGGTTGTCAAGTAAGAAGTCGTCCAAGACATCGAAGGTAAATGCCGTCTTTGGTTCTATGAATGACGCCGGAAACAAACCCATGTTAAACAACTGTATATCGGCGGTGTCGGCCTCTGGGCATGTGCAATACTTGACGATGTGGGTATGTACTCCGGACTTGTCGACTATTGTTGTCATGGCCTTGTTGTTCTTAATGAACAGCATGCCGGTCGGTAGGTCATGGGCCTCCTTTGTGCTCTGCTCGGCATTTGGTTCATTCAATATGCTCTTGGCATCTGTATCGTCGGAATCTCCTTCCCCTGTAGTGAACAGAGCTGACTCCCCTACATCATCATCCCATGGGCATGCATTTCCTCCATGTCCGAGCCAGATTACCATCCCACTCTTGACCAAGCAACTTTCCTCAAAGAACGAGCCTGTCCATTGGCTAACCCGATGAAAGGGAAGCCTCTGGTGCTGGGTTCTGCAACAACTTGTGCAAAAGAGAGGCTCACCGAAGCATCCATGGCATTTATAGACACCATCTGTACCACAGATGATACATGACCTATCTGATGGAACTTCTCTTTCAAGGAGTATGTCAAGATATGCTTTGGTCTTTGGGACCCATTGGTGTATATAGTCATTTTGACTCTGAATACAGATCAGTGGTGAAATAGAAGTGATATCAGCGGATGGCTCACCAGGGACTTTGGCAGGTGCAGTGGAGTCACCATGTGATCACCAAGGTCATCTGAAAAGTCATCTCCCCCATGGTAAAGCATACCATAAGATTCCTGCTTTGAGGGAGACTTAGTAGGGGTTGCTGGAACTGATCTACTAATGATAGGTCTCTCCACCCATTTGCCGACCACCTTTCTCATCCTATATGTTCTCTGCCATTCCACCACTGCATACTTATGTTTTGGAGTCCACTCTTGTAGTCTAGAACCTCCCATTTGTTGAGCCCAGTACTGTACAAGAATCTGTAAGAATGACAAGTTTCAATTGACCGATGCAATATGGTCATATCAATTAATCACTATTGGTTACAAGTACATAATAAGAATTATAATATAAGCTGAACTGAGCAGAACACAGCAATCATATCCACTATATATCCATGATATGAACTGTAATATAGGGTGAATGAACTGAGCAGAACAGAACAAAACCATAGAACACTAACGACAGTCAACCAACTGTTATTAAGTCTGGAAAGATTCACCATCACCATCCTTCATAACACAACATGCCAAGAAGTGAATCTCCTATCGTGGTTCCACAAAAAAAGGTTTGCTTGCAGAAGGCTGAAGTCTTGGTCCTCAGAGCCCACCTAGAAGACTGGAAGTCTGTGAAAGATAAAGAAAGATCGAGGGTGCTGCTTGCCATCTACAAGGAAGCATCCCTCCAAGCTCCCACCAAGGAAAAGGCCCTGTTGAAAGCTCGGCGAAAGGTATTTAACAGTTTATAACATATTGGAGATCCCGGAGCATGATAACATGTCTGTCAAAGATTTACAAGCAGTGGTTGCAGAACCAGTCTCGCCAGAGAGGAGCTGCAAAGCCTCTTATCAAGTATGGCCGTCATTGGACGGCGAGGCAAGTCTTGATTCACACACACAAAGCCTCGATTTGACAGGAGACGGGAGAGATGGCTGGAAGTGAGGGGATGATTACCAAGTGGCTGAAGGCAGCAAAGACAGTCATTAATTGTTTGTCGGCGGAGGAGAGAGAGGAAGCGGAGGCCATGGCGGAGAGGTGGAACAATGAAGCAGCACCGCTGGATATTCAGGCCGAGATCGCCGAGAGCAAGGGCGCCGACATGATCGAGCATTTTGCGACTGAAATGTTCAAGAAAGCCAGAATGCAAGTCTGCATCCTATCAGCTTGGAAGGACAGCCAAGGCAAGCTCATGTTGGGAGGGTGAGTGTCATCTCCAATCGATCGGCGATTTATTCAATGGTGACTGCAGCCACAACTTCAATGAACAGTTCGGGGATGGAGAGAGCTTTATCAAGACAAGGGATTGGGACGGCATCATCATGCCTGAATGGGTGGAATATGTGGGGGAGCAATTTGGTGAGGCCATGTAAATGTCTTACCGGCAAGCATACTGAGGCAAGTGAACGTTTAGACGGCGAGGATGATGGGGAGCCCCAGATGGTCAAATCAAAGAAACGAGTTGCCAAGAAATTAGTTGAACTTGACGAAGACGCCGATGGGTGGCCGATTCTGCCTGACACAATGGGATGGAAACGAGCCGAACAACAGCACATGATTCGGTCTTTCTTGACGAAGCTCTATAGTACTTGTTTTGCTCTTTCAGATTGTACATTGTTCTGATTCTGAACAGGAATGTGCTCCAGTGAAGAAAACCTGAAAGCGGTGGTGCCATGGGGAGATGTAATCCATGACCCATGGGCATTTTTTGATGGTGCCCATTGGCCGGCCGGCGTGCAGCTCAAGGAGCCATCCAAGATGGATAAAGCAGATGCCACCACTGTACTAGATTTCTGGTTTGCCCGCCAGAAAGACGACATGCAACCGGCCTTCTCATTCAAGGCCTGGAAAGACTCCGATGGCGAGATGCAAGAGGCAGACTTGTGTCCACCCAGTGCTCACCGTGGCAATGCCACAAAGCAGAGCAAAGGCAAGGGTAAGGGCAAAGCCAACCCTAAAGCTAACCGCTGCTGTGTGCCGGATGATAGCAATTCGGAGGACGAGTTGGACAGTGATCTGGGAGAGGATGGTTCTAGGCCATCCAGTAAAGATGAGGGAGCACCATCCACCGGTGGAGAGCCCAAGATTTCGCCGCCCCCAAAGGTCGCCTTGCCGACCAGGAAGAAGATCAAGTCACAGCCTGCAAGTTCACGGCGGGATACCAGACAACCTGTCGCCAAGGTCGGCGGGGTGCTGAATCCTCCGACGAGAGGTTCTATTTCCTCTGGACAGCCTCTCAAGTCACAGGGAATGACATTGAAGGCACCTGCCGCATCTCCAGCGACTGGAACTAAAAGCAAGCAGGTCGCATATACATCAAATGAGCCTCCCAAGAACTTGAAATGCCGTGGCACCAACGCCGTGAGTGACACGCCGGCAAAGCGAACCAGGAGTAAAACCACTGTGCCGGAAGCTTCAAGGGCTAAGCGTGGCAGGAAGTAATCATTATGTCATATTGCATCTTTAGGATACGCCGGCATGGAATGAAAAGCAGACTGTCCGCCGGTGTACATTGGCGTAACTCATCGGCAATGTGAATGTCTCGCCATTAACATAACATTGGTGGTACTAAAGAAACACAGCCGCGACTAATTGAAAGATATACTGTATGTACTACTAACTACCAGCGGTCCTCTCTGCTATCTCAACCTCATTGGTAAGAGAGTCCATGAATGAAAGCTGGCATATGTGGTGCTCGGATGCATGATGAATGGTGATAAGATCTTTGAAGATCCTAGTCAACCAATCTCTGGACTCACAGAACGCCGACAATACAGCGCGGTTGCTATCTGTTACCCACTCAAATAGATCTGTTAGGCGGAGCCCTAAGAGGGGTGTCGTCCGCTAATGTTCGTGACGTAACCGGAAGGATCCGGTATAGCAAGTGAGACTGGCGACAACGAGTCGGCAGTGATCACAGTACGCGCGTGTCACGTGACTTCTAAGACAGATGTCTATGAAGTCGCTCAAAGTAAGGACAGTCTTGTCCGAACAATGAGGTCGATCAAGGTAGACTTAGTCGCGATGAGCAACTAAGAAAAGATACTAGAGACTGAAGCCAAAGGGGCGTTCAGAGAGAAGTATGTTCCAGGGAAGATTGAGTAGATTCAAGTTAGAGAATCTAGTACAGGGTGACCGACTACTTATACTAAGTGGAGAGGGTCAAGGGCAAGGCTACCGCACAGTAGGTAAGGGTAAAGGGGAAACAAGAATGGTATAGGTGCGTTGGCAACAGAGCCGGATTAGTGGTGGATGGTCAAATGTGGAATGAGACCGAGAAACATTGGAACGGACCAACAGTGAGAATACAATGTGCGGGAATCCGCAGTCAGAAGGGAACAGAAAGGGAAAGCCACATTGGTGGCATGAGTCAGACCGAGTCATAGGTGCGGGACCACATTGGTGGTCGAATCAAGGGAGGAACATGCATGCACGTGCATAGAGGCGGGCGATGCGAGGGACGGGAACGGTCCCGAGGATCTGGTCAACGGAAAGTCGGTAAAGGAGGACGAGCCAGATGATGGTGAGGGCGAGGACGAAGGGAAAATGATAGGGGGGCCACGTGACCGATGTTACTTGTAACATTACCCCCATTTCAAGGCTTAAGCTTGACAGGCTTAATCATCCTGGTTGTCGTACCAGCTGGGGTCGAAGTCGAGGTCGGCAAGCCATGTGGTGGCCTTGAGTGCATTCTCCTCGTGTTCTTGCTCGATGCGGGCGGCTTCCTGATCATACGCTGCTTCAAGCCTGCGCATATCAGAATAGAATCTGTCCGAGGAAGGTCCCCGGCGCAGTAGTCTTCGTCCATCGAGTAGTGGACAGAAGGGGGTGAGATGTTTTGGGGCAAATTGCCCACAGATACAGCAGAAGTACTGAGCGCAGTGCTTCTGTTTATGGCCATATACACGGCATTGGCAACAGATCACATTGGAACGGTAGATCTGGGTTGTCTCAGTGGCCTCGATGCGGGCCCGGTTAAGAGCGTCGCCCTGAGCTTCTTCACGGGTATAGTGCCTCGTAAAGTTCTGAGTAGCAGGGGGGTGTGCATGAGAGAGGGAGTCTGAGAGCAAGCACAGACTGCGCATGGGCGTGGCGTCCTCGGCGTCGTGGAGTGGGGAGGGGATTTGGATTCTCAATTGGAGAACCAATGGTTAAGGGGGGTACATCCCAAGTAGGAACGAAGTTGCTAGGGGTGATGGTAGGAGCGGGATGAGATTCATCTGCTTCAGGGATGGTGACGGGGGATTTGTGTAGTTCGAAGAAGATGATAGTGTCGGCTTCGGGGGTAGGGTTACGTGGTGTGTAGCGCTCACGCTCGTATTCGTTATAGAAGTGGTCGATTTCTGGATTAGTCAGCTGTGTGACATTGGGGATGTGTTCGTCGGTTTCGATGAGCAGTTGTGGATGGAACAGAGTCGGAGCTCTGTCAGAGACAGTATGCTCGACGACGGTGACAGGGTCGGGAGGGGGATTAAATGCCCGCTCCTCCTCAACAGCCAAGACAACAGCTTGGAAGTTCCTAAGTTCGAGCAGGTTTAGTAAGGCCTGCTTGATCTTACCCTGGTTGTAATGGGTGGAGAGGGTGGAGAGGGTGGTATCCCTCTCAAGGTCGATCCTAGCGATGTCGCCAGTAAGGCCGTCTGCGGCTCTGAAGGCATTGATGATATTGTAGGTGACACCATCATTGGTGCGAGCGAGGCATCTGTCGAGGCGGAGGGCATACTGAGGGTCGCAGATTACTCCTTCCCAGTAGGCGCATGTCCTGTCTTTGCGGACAGAGTGCAGGGAGGGTCATCGATATGGGGTGTGGGCGGGCCTTTCAAGGCCAGGCGGTTGTCAGGGCGTCTGGGTCGGGCTGTATACAGATGCAGGAGAGAAAGCAGAAAGGGGAGAGGAAAGCGACAATGCTGAAGCCGACATATTTGAGGGGCTTTCCTTGGGTATTGGCATAGGTAAATTCTTGGGTGATGGGGCGGTGCTTGTCGAGGGGTTTAGTGGAATGGTGTCAGTTATGGATCTGTTGTCAATGGAAGTATTCGGGGGTCTGAGGCAAAGGTTTGTTGCGAGGGGAGGTGGAATAATGGGCCTTGGTGTGGAACCACTTAGTCCTGCGGTTGCAGTGTCATTCTTGTAGAGGGGAAATGGTGGTAACAGATCAACAGTTGATGGCGATTGAAGTGATCTTGAGTCGCTTTTTATATGCCTTCAGCAGCTCTGCTGCGGACTTCAACTCCTTTTCAGGGAGCCACGTTCGTTCGGAGGGTGGATAGCCTACCCATGACATGAGGTATCGGTGGCGCGCACCGGTACCCTTGTGTTGGAGAATAGCTTCCACTTTGTAGTGTTCCTCCCCATCGATCAGGTCAGGGGGAGGTTCGGTGAAATTCAGGCCATGCACGTCCATCTCCTGATAGGAGGAAAGTTCTGAGGTGTGGAACATGGGGTGGATACGCCAGCTGTCAGGCAACTTGAGCTGGAACGTGATGGGGGAGAGGGCCTTCTGGATCGGGAAGGGTCCGTATCGTTTTGGGGCGAGTTTCTGAGAGGGGAATCCAGTGATCAGATTCGTGGCAGATAGCCAAACTTTATCACCAATGTTCCATGGCTTGTAACACTGGCCAAAGGATCGATCAGCCATGTGTTGCTGTGCAAGGCTGTGGCATGCGAGGGCTTCCTTGCGGATCTTAGCGAGGGACTTGACATGTTCCTCGGCGGTTGGTAGGGTAGAGTCGGGGAATAGATGGGGAATGCCTCGTGGCTCGTATCCCATCATGAGGAAGAAGGGGGAGGCATTTCTGGCAGAGTGTCTGCGGGAGTTGTGGACAAATTCAGCCATAGGCAGGTGCTTCGCCCATTCGGAGGGAGTCATCTGGCAGTAGATCCGGAGGTAGGTTTCTAGCTCTTGATTGAGCCGTTCGGTCTAACCATCTGTCTGGGGGTGATAGGCGGTGGAAAGTGCGACTTGGTAGTTGAGGAGTTGTCCTAGCTCTCTTGCTAGCTTGGAGGCGAATTGGGGGCCTCAGCCCGAGATGATTTTGTTGTAGAGTCCAAAGCGCATGAACACTTTCTTGAAGAAAAGTTCAGCTATGCCCTCCGCAGTGATGGTTTTTCTGCAAGGGCAGAGAATTACCCCCTTCGTAAGACCATGGTCTACCACGACCATGACAGAGTCATAGCCGGCGCTCTCTGGGAGGTCAGTAATCAGGTTGACAGAGACCTGAGAGAAGGGCTGGAGGGAGGAGGAGGGTATCGGGGTCAGGGGGGGGTCGTCGGGTCGGTGTTAACCTTCATCTGCTGGCACATGGCGCAGCCATCAACATATTTCTGGATAAAAGAGCCCATACCAGGCCACCAGTAGGACTTCTTGACATTCCATTCAGTGACAGAACGGCCGGGGTGACCCGCGGTGGGGTGATCGTGGTGCAACGCGAGCACGTGATGCCGGAGGTCAGGGGGAACATAGGCACGATCCTTGTAGAAGAGAACACCGTTGGTGAACCTCCAGTCAGAGAGTGCCAATTTCATTGGAGGTGCGCACACCCCGGAAAGAGCATCCAAAGCTGTTTTCACAGTTTGGTCGGAAGGGTCGTCGGAGAGCTGCTGGAATTCGTCAGCAAGCTTGGTATTGATGAGCCGGGTAAAGAGAGTGTCCAGGAGAAGGACACGGTCTTCGTTGTCATGGCCGGACTGGTCATGGTCCGGTCGGCGGGATAATGCGTCGGGTGCAGCAAGCTTCATACCAGGAACGTGGTGTAGTTCCAGGTCGAAGTTGGTGAGTGTAAGATGCCACCGGGCCTGCCGTTGGGTGAGTCATTGAGCAGAATGGAAGTAGATCAGGTTCTTGTGATCAGTGAACACAATGACCGGGTGGGCATTCCCTTCCAGGAAGTGCCTCCAGGCCTGGAGGGCACGAATAATGGCGAGGAGTTCCCGGTCGTAAACCTCGTAGTTGTGTTCCGCTGCATTCAGGGACTGGGAGAGGTAGCCACAGGGGTGGTAATCCCTGTTGCTATCCATCTGGAGCAGTACTGCTCCGGTTGTGAAGAGGGATGCATCAGTTGCAAGTGCAAACTGACGCGAAGAGTCGGGGTTCCGCAAAACCGGTTCAGTGGTGAAGAGCATCTTCAGATGCTGGAATGATGTTTTGGTAGAGTCCGACCAGGTGAAAGGAACTTCCTTCTTGGTGAGGTCCAGGAGAGGTCATGCGATGTCGGAGTAATGGGGAATGAAGTGCCAGTAGAAGTTACAGAACCCGAGGAAGGATCGTACGTCTTTGACAGATGCGGGTTGCTGCCATTCACTGATACCCTTCAGTTTGGCGGGGTCCATGGCGACCTGTCCTGGTCGGATGATCATACCGAGATATTCGACTTCTTGGGAGTTGAAGGTGCATTTCTCGGGTTTGAGAAAAAGGGACTCCTTGCGGAGTTTTTCCAACACACAACGGGTCCGTTGTCGGTGTTCGTCCAGGTTATCTGAAAAGATGAGGATGTCATCCATATAGATGATTAGCCATCCTTC